TACCAGGGGGAAAGGGTGGGTTGGAAGATGATAGATTGTGAACCTCAGGCTGACATGTACACATTAGTATATTTAAAATAGATAACCAACAGTGGACTCTGCTCAGTATTCTGTAATAACCTAAATGGGAAAATAGTTGGAAAAGAATAGATAGTTGTATATGTATCACTTTGCTGTGTACCTATAACTAACACAACATTGTAAATCAACTATACTAGAAGAAAAAGTTTTTAAAAGAAAAAAATCTCATTATTTCTAATGAAAGGGTGGACTTCATCATGCTTCTTAAGAGGTATTTCAGAGTTCATGTGGATTAGATACTGATTATCTATCTCCCTTCCTCTCTTTTTCCCCCATGGAAGTTCTTACTGAGGCTATTCAACCCCTGCTCCATTATTGAAAATTGGATTTTGGTAGGGGTGGTTAGGAATGAACTGTGTGTTTCCTACTTTGCTGGACCATGAAGAAAGGTTTCTGCCTGGAAAGGAGAAGTCTGTAGCATAAGTCAGTAAAGGTATAAATCATTCAGCAACTCAACAGACATTAGATAAGTTCTTACTATTTGATAGGGAGCAGGCTGGGATCTGAGCTTACAGCCCTGAACAAGATAGAGAAGGTTGCAGCCTTGAGCAATGCAGAGAAGATTCCAGCCCTCATGATGCTTACAGTATGAAGTCAGAGGTGATCTAGCAAGCATGGATGTGAAGAGAACAGGGGTGTAGGAAGTGAAGGATCATTTGGTGTCAACGGCAGCACATCCAATGGCTGTGCCTGCAAATATGTTGAGGGTCAGAGGGGGCTAACAAGACCCCAAAGCCTGTGCAAAAGCCACTAGGTTCTGTGGAAGGGTATAGGGTGAGGGTATTGAATATAGAGCACAAAAGAGAACAGGCAGAAGAAAGGGGAGAAACTTGAGAAAATTAAGTTGGAGGCTGGAAAAGAATGTGGGATGTGGCTGCCCTAAACCCACCACAAGACTTTTCTGAGTCAGGAATGTGAACCTACAGAAAACTCCCTCAGTCACTATCTGAACCAGAAGGAATGATTTTTCCGGGAATCATGGAGGTCATTGTCCTGTACAAAGAAGAAAAAAATGGCAATGCAGAAAAAGGGAAGAACCATGAAACTGAACAAAATATGCATTTCTCTATTTGTTATATCAGCTACCAGGCTGTGGATTTGAAGTCTTCCAAGTGGTGCATAGTTTGAACTCCAAGTTCCTCCTGTGAACCAGTATAATTCTCTAAGTTTTCTGCACAGTTGAGGATAATTTTGCCACATCACAGGAGAGGAGAGGAGCTGAGGAAGGAGAAGGAGACGAGACAAGAAGAAACAAGTCCTCCTTTAAATCTCAACTGGCATCAACTGTCAGTCCAGTGATCAGGGTTTGAAACCTTTGGGTTGTGAGTGTGAGAGGAGTGTAGAGGTAAAATGCGTGGTCCCTAACCAGAAGGCTGAGAATTGAGATGGGAGAAGACACACAGGGGATGCTCCAATAAGGAAGTGGATGGCTCCCTTGGACTACTCATATGGGATTGCATAAAGAGCATCAGCAATATCCCAGAAGGCCAATATATATCATTTTCCTCTAGCTTAGCAACATCTCACTACTAAGTATTTTTAAAATTATTATCATGAAGTTATAAAAATAAAATTACATCATATATGTTATATATCATCATCATATGACCACCAATATCAAATTGCCAGAAATAAACATTGATAATATTTTGCTATATTTTGTGTTAAGATTTTTTATTTTCCACAAACCCACACCTGTGTATACATGTCTATAAGGATACTGATATACTGATTTGAGATCTTTGATCTTTTTTAATATAGATGTCTCCAGCCACTAATTTCTCTCTATGCACTGCATTACATGTATCACTGAAGTTCTCATATACTGCACCTTCATTTTGATTCCTCCCAAACTATTTTGCAATTTTATTTATTATTTCTTCTTTGAGCCATCAGTTATTTAAGAATGTGTTGCCAAACTCATATATATCACAGAAGCAGAGAGTAGAACGGTGGTTAGGAGAGGCTGAGGGGTGAAGCAAAAGTGGAGATGCTGGATAAAGGGTCCAAGGCTTCGGTTATAAGATGAAAGAGCTCTGGGAGACAGTGTAAATGATGGTGAGTCTAGTTAATAACACTGTTGTACACTTGAGACTTGTTAAGAGAGTAAATCTTAAACATTCTCATCAAACACACACACCCATGTGCACTCACACACACATTTAAATGATTACTGTTGTGGTAACTAACATGCTAAGTAGCTGATGGTGGTACTCATTGCACAAAGTATGCATAGGTCATCACATTATACAATTATACATCAAATCATGTATAATGTATACATTATATATCAAATCATCACATTATACACCATAAATATATACATTTTAATTTGTCAGCCTGACTAAGGCTGTAGGGGGAAAGATGAAAGAATAACCATCACACAAAAGAGTAATGAAGTTTGAGAATTTCTGTGTTCCTTCTCCTTCTTGCCTCTGTTAGGCTCTGATACTATTCTCTGAGAGAGCTTCCCTCATCAGTTATTTTCTGTGGGCCTTGTATCCATTTCATAGTTGTTATTCCCATTAGTCACCTGCATGGACCACATCTGAAATGGGGAGTGCGAAAACAGGGGAAAGAAGGGATTGAAAGTTGTTTCTATTATTGAAAAATCAAGGTCTCTTTAGTTTTGGCATATCGTATATTTAGTCATCAATTTCCTCAAAAACTTATTAGACATCTAATGTATTTCATTCCTCCAACCATTCTGTGTTCTAGATACCACACTCAGGTCCTTTCCTAGAAGTAATTTTCTGGCTTGATTTATTTTTCTGCCTTTTCCTCTGAACATAATAGAGCTACCAGTGGGGCTCATTGGCACACAGATGGACAGACTACAAATTTTCTCTTTTCTATGTTGCTACAGTCAAATGGAAGTGGATACAAACTTCAAAACCATGTAAAATCACATCTCTTCCTTTTTGGGGATTACAACTGGTGAGCTTTCTAGTTCAACAAGTTTTTTAATATCTTGGCTACATTTTTCTTTCCACTTTTTTCATTTCTGGTTTGCAAATCAGACAACTATTTCCTGAATATATGTGTATCAAAATACCCTGATCAATACAACAAATAACCAACATATGCTCAACCTCGCAAGTCATTTTTCAAACTTTTTGCCCTTGAATAACACATATCATCACATTTATGGTCTCCAATATGTTTCTTTGCCAACCACCTGCAGATTTCTAAGCCAAGGCTGCATTTTTAAGATTTGTTACAGTAGCATCCCACCTCAGGAAACTAATTTTTGTGTTAGGTCAAATAATACTAGCTACAGTAGGGACAGATCCCAAATATCAGTGTTTTTTTTTTTTTTTTTATTCATGTCATAGTCTAATGAGGATTGAGCAATAATCTGGGTATCTTTTTCCATCTATAGTTCTATATTTTTAGAGTCCTTTACTTCTAGGTTTGTGAATGAAGACTGTAGAAAGAGAAAGATTGAATCTATCTTGTGTATAGGTATAGAATGATTTGATTTGAAGACTTAGTTACATTTGAGAATAATGTTATTTTTAGTGTGTGTGCGTGTGTATGTGCCTGTGTGTATTAGATCTGAATGAACTATTTGACTTGTGGACACTTAGGGCCACAAGAAGGAATAACAAAGATTACCTTTTTTCACAGCTCACTTTCACAGCTAAGCACTGAGACACTAAGCTGCCTAGCGATAGTGACTTTGTAAATCTCAGTGTACACTGTAAACCTCAAATTTCTTCAAAGGTGGGATCAAGAATATCAGGAAAGCAATTTCAGATGGGAAAAAATATGTAAGGTGGTACACATGGGGAGGAGGCAGCACCTTACCTAGTAAGTATCCTTTATATTTACCTTTCTTTGGTACTACCCATCTTTTAAGAACTACTATAACCTTATGCAGACTATGTCATTAATTTCCAAAAGCCCTTTATCAGCAATAGCATCTAAAAAATGTGGCTAAATTAGAAAAGGAAAAAAAAAACAGAATATGAAAGTACAGTACAGTGTTAAGAAACTACTTCCTTGAAACAAGCTACTTCTGAGTTACTATCCTTCTGGAGCTAATATGGTGGTGAGGGTAACAGAGGTGCTGGTAACGGTGGTGATGATGGAGACAATGAGGACCTGGACATGGAAATTCGGTGTGCTGCAGTCCATGGGGTCACAAAGAGTCAGACACGACTGAATGACTCGACTGAACTGAACCAAACTGTCTTCCAAGTGCTATTTATGAGTCTGGCATGTCCCAACTAAATTATAGACATTTATTGGATATTCATTCCTCAGAAATTGGGAATGAAAATACAATTTTCCCTACATTTTACTAAAGGGACTGAAAACCTGGAGAGATAAATATTTTCATCCTCAAACCATCAAGTGATAATTAATGATATAACAAGGAATTGAAATTATGTAGAAGTATTCCTTGATAAGACTCAAAATTTAGACAACGCTGATTGTGAGAGCTTGAACCTTGGCATCAAAGGATAGAAAGAAAACAAGATGATGATATGGTATTACTAAAAACTTTTGAAAAGAAAACATTTTTGCCATCACATAAAGGAACTGTACTTTATTCATGAGGAGGAGGATAAGCGACAGTTGGCCAGCTGGTAGAAACCCCTACCCAGGTGACAGACAGACCCAAGGGAGGGAGAGAATCCTCTGATGGTGCCCGGGAGAAAGCTGCTGCTCTTCCATCTGAAGCTCCGTGGTGCTTTCCCAGCTGTCCTCCCAGAGGAGAGCAGAACAGCAGCGTCAGGAAGGAAACCTCTGGCTGTCAGGAATCATTACAGGCATACTGCAGGCTGAAGGAAGGAAGGAGAAGCTTCTTCTATATACATGATAGGCTTTAAAGGGAAGATGAAGGTGGACCTGTGGAGCTAGGTGAGTCAGTTGTCCTCATCCTTTCCTGATCCAGATACAAGCTGATGCTTCTACTTGCTTTTGGGTGGGCACTTCTGCTGGCATTGTTGGGGAGGTGGCACAGGAGGGCATTTCTGCTGGCACTGAGGAGGTGGGCATGGCTCAGGGCACTTTGGAGGTGGGCAAGGCTCAGGGCACTTCGGAGGTGGGCAAGGCTCAGGGCACTTGGGAGGGCACACTACTGGAGGTGGCTGGCAGGGCTGCTTGCACTGCTGCTGCTGATAAGACATCTTTCTGGAGTCTTAGAATCTGAAAGAAATTACATGACAGTGTTCACAAGAAGAAACTGCTACAAGGAGAAAAGTCTGAGCTTGTTTAATAACATAGGATAGAATCTCTGCAGTTGCTAAGAAGGTGGTTTGATCTCTTTAATCCCTTTCAATGAAATTCTGGCCTCTCTCTCCCTCTTTAACAAATTGTATTATTGGCTCAGAGAAAATCTTTACTTTTACCTAAAACTTTAAAAAAATGTTTTTCAATGAACCAATCAATGTTGTTCGGTTCTTCTTTTTTTTCTGGAAATAGCATCTTCAAGAAAGGCCATCATAAGTTCCAAAATCCTAGGTAAGCTCACAAGCAATCTCATCATCATTATCTATCATGAGGTCCCAGAAGTATGACTTGTGTACAGAGCAAAAGGCCACCAGGAAGGATACAAGGACCCCACACCTTCTAAGATAAATGCCTCTTAAATAACAGCAGAAGGACACAAGAAAGACAAAAAGAGGGAAAGTGCTTCATTATTTACCTCTTCTTGTCACAGATTTTGCTGCAATCTCTTCAATAAAGGAATTCAAACTCTGTAACAGGAACTTAATAAATACTGTATATCACTGTGTTCATATTCCAAGCTCTCATCCACTAAGGAGCATTAAAGTCATGACAAAACTTTGGACACACCAAATTTGCTATAGCCAGAATTAATTCATAAGTAGAGAGCCCAAGAATAGAGCTGAACTGAAGAATCAGACTCACCAGGTTCTCCAAAACCTATCCGGACTCAAGTAGCAGGAGGATGGCAGTGATACAGCAGAGGGCCTCTTTATAGGGACTCGCTGCCCCACCCAGCAGGAAGCAGAGCTGCCACACAGGCCTGGTTCAGTCATTTCCCAACCAAAATGCAAATCCATCCATAAGTGGCTTGACGGGGACTCCAGAAAGAGGAAATGTTCTGCTCCAGGATCTCCTCCCTGGATTATCTTCCCATGATGCACAGCATCCTTGTCTTAAGCTCTCAGTTTCAGGGGTTTATGGAAGTGGGAGGATTTGGGAGGTTCTTTAACTTGGAGTCAAAGCCTCCTTTCTTGATTGGAGAAGATTCCTCTTCAATACCTTTCACCTTCCATGAATTATAAAAGTGCCTGTCTTGTCCCACTTGAACTGGTTGCCATTTTGGTGTACATACTGAGTTGAAAAGAGCCTGGCTATCTAGTGACGCCTTTTTCTTTACCTCAAGTCCTTCTTATAATGTTTTCCCTTTGATCCATGACCTGCTAATCTGTCTCCTTTCTTCTTCTAAAATGGACTGAGGGCAGGTTGCAGATCATCTCTGCAGCCTTCCCATCATAATACTTAGATATGTTCAGTAAAGTGGTACCCTCTAGGATGCTCCTTTCACTGCTTTTCTCCCTCAGATAAAAGACATCAAGCTCATTTTTGCAGCCTTTAGAAATCTGTTTCACCTTGGGTCCCAGGAAATTCACTAAGAGTTTAGCATCATCTACTGTAATTCAGGTGTTGCCGCAGCCCAGACTCTAGACCAACAACAGAAGGCAAGCTTTTTGCACATAACTCTCCAACATGATGTACCACTTATTCCTACATAATTTCTCCCAAGTGTCCTCTTTGTCCTATGTCACTGTATGAAAAAAATCTCAGCCATTGTTCAAATTTTCTGACATCCTTCCCCTTTGAAATATCGAAAGGCCCAATCTGGTAAGTATTGACATAAAACAACTATTTTTTAGTGAAAGTTGAAATCATGAGCCATTCAGCCTTTGAAGTTAATTGCCATTCATATACAACTTCTCAAGTCATTAATAAGAATTTCACGGTAATTTAAACCATTTTTTTAGATTTACCATACTGATTACATGAAATATATATTAGATAAATCTCTTTCCTGGTCACTTCATTCATAAAATTTGTCAGTGTGCCAGAAAGAAGCATAGTTAATTTATGAGTCATCTTGACTGGTACAGGGTGCCCAGATAATTTGTCAAATATTATTCTATGTGTTTCTCTAAGGATGTTTTTGAGTGAGATGGTCTTCCCTGGTCACTCAGTGGTAAAGTGTCTGCCTAAGAAGGAGGAGATGCCAGTTTGATCACTGGATCAGGGAAATCCCCTGGGTAAGGAAATGGCAACCCACTCCAGTATCTTTGCCTGGAGAATCCCACAGAAAGAGGAGCCTTGCGGGCTACATTCCATGGGGTCACTAAGAGTTGGACAAAACTTAGCAACAGACAACACCTTTCAATCAGAGGTCTGGGTAAAGGAGGTTGCCCTCTATAAGGTGGGTAGTCCTTCATCCATTGAAAGCCTGAATAGAGCAAAAGTCTAAGCCTTTCTTGGGTGAGATAATCCTCTTGCCTGATGGCCTTCCACAGGTTTTCAGTTGCACATAGTTTGAAATTGTCAGCCTTTATAATCTCATTCTCTCTCTTTGCTGTTTCTCTCTGTGTCTGTCACTCTCTCATATAAAAATATATATAACATGTATTATATTATAATTTGAAAATATCATCTGGCATTTCATGTACATCACTTCTTATGTCCAATCAAATTAAAAATTCAAGGAGCTTGTGTAAAGTGATTAAAGTAAAAATATAAATATTACATGATATACGTGAAGTGTAATTATGGCAAATATAATGAATTTTTAGAGAATAACTGAAGTTCAAAAAAGAATGCCCTAGCATGTTCTCCAGCCCTGGCATAATATTTCATTTACGCCTTTTCAGAGACTTAGCTCTCAATAGTTCTTCTACAGTTCCTTTGTTCAGCTGGAGCTGAACTCTCCTCTTTTCTGTACTATCCTCTTGGGCACTCTTCAGTGGTTGGCGAGGAATCATATCTGGTTTAGGAGTAAAGTTACAGTGCTGGCTTTATATTACTATAGAATGTGGGAACACAGTTAATGGAATCAGGATGTCCCCTTTCACCTGACCCCTACAGTCCCCTAGAATGCTGTGTCATGCTGAAGATTATTTACCAGGAAATAAATAATTTTTATTCCAATAGTAAATATCAGGCTTAAATTGCATAAAAACAAAAATGAATGTGAGATACCATTTAAGACTCACACCACCACATACAAGTGATTGAGAGTAGGTTTGGGAGGGGAGAGAGGATCAGAGAACTGAACATCTGAAATAGTTAAATACATGCTTAGGGTTTATCTGATGAGTTTGTTTTCTTCTACTCTATCCCAACAAGTTTTAGATCTTTAAAATAGAGTGGTTTTATTTAGTAATAGTCTTTGCATATCTTTCTTCTTTCTTCCTGCATCAGTGGAATAATTGACCTACTAATTTGCCTTGGCCAAAAAAACATGAAGCTTTTCAAGAATGTAATTTTATAAATGGGAAGGGAAGAAGAAGAAGAGAAAGAGGAAACACTTAAAACTTTGAAACAGTCACCAGGTTTGCATGTTCCAGAAGTCAGGACATAATATTCTCCTTTAGCTCAGCTGCATCTCCACTGACTACTATATACTTTTTAAATATTATAATAAAGAGGAGAAGTCAAGCTGGTAGAAGAGGAGGATGCGAAATTCATACTTCCTCACATATATACATCAAATATGCATCTACAAATGGAGTAATTCTCAACAGAATACTTGATGAACATTAGTGGAAGTCTTGGGAAACCTAAAATGACAAGAAAAATCCACTCATAATTAGGCAAAATGAAAAAAATAACACAGAAAAGAGGAATCGAAACAGTGACCAGCAACCCTGACAGGAAGCTGAAGATGGAGGGAGGTCCCTCAAACTCAGAAAAAGCCCATCACAGTGGGAAAATCAGCTGGGACAGAAACGGGCCTTCAGGGGATCAAAGCAGAGGATGGTCTGTGAAAGGCAAGACTAAGAGCTGCATGCATGGTCTGTGCCACAGCCCTGCTCATCCTAGCCTGAATCATGTGTCTCCTGTTGCAGAGGGAGGCTGGGTGCTAGAACATGGGGTTTATAGTGAAGACTCAGGGAGGGAACCATTGTTGGCTGTGAAAAGACAGCCTGAAGGGGCAGGAGTAAGGAGTTCTACAGCTGGGAACGTTTGCAGATAAAGCCTGGGACACCACAGAATCTCGGTGTCATTGTTGAGTGGCAGGTAAAGGGGAGGGCTGCATCATAACCCCTTTCCCACCTGCCAACTTCTTTGGTTTTCAGAAGCACTGGAAGGGGCTCCCATTGGTTCATCTTGCCCACCTCTCAAGCCAAGGCCTCTTCTGCAGAAGTAGGTTCAGTGGTCCTGAGTGCCGCCCATCTTAAAGCCACCTTTGGAATTAGCTCTGAGAACTTTTGTGCTGGGAGGCCTGAATGCTAAAGTGTCGGGTTAAGAGAGTGGATCCTGTGAGAGGATCACAGATACAACAGAGAGGACAGGAGTGAGAGGCTCTGAGGCTGGGAATGTCAACTGGAGGAAGTGCGGTCTGCCCAGGAAACGAGGCACCATTGTTAAGTAGCATGCAGAGGGTAGGGCCATTACAGCCCCCACACCACATGCCAGCCCCTGCCTCTCTGGGCACTGGCAGGGAGTCCCACCAGGGCAAGTGCGCCCCATCTGTTGCAACTGCCTGCAGGCCTACATCACCACAGGCACTTTGTGCACACTCCAATTGTGGCCGCTGGTCTGGGTAAGTAAGTGTGTGCCACTCAGACACTATTTTCACTCTCTCTCATCTGGGTGGGGAACAGATGTCTGAGGGTGGCACGCACACATACACACACACACAACAGGGGCCCAAACCAATGCTGAACCCCAGGGGCGGTACAACTAAGGAAGAGGAGCAGAGTTGTCTCCCTGCAGCTGCAGAAGCTGTGGGTTAAATCCCTGTGATCAGCTCAGTAAATCCTGTGTCTGTGGAATATCTGAATAGATAATGACT